AGGAGCTTGAAGAGAAGCGATGGAGGGGTGCTGCCTCCTGGCTTGCTCAGCCTGCTTTCTCATAGAACCCAGGACCACTTGTGTAGGCATGGCACTATCTTCTGTGGGCCGGCGCCTCCCCCATCAGTCACTAATGAAGAAACTCTTATAGAGGCATTTTCTCAATTGAGGCTTCTTCCTTTTAGATAACTCTAGTTTGTGTGACGTAAGACTACAGCACAGAGGCTGGAGAGATGGCTCAGTGGTTAAGAGCACTGTCTGCTCTTCCAAAGGACCGGGGTTCAATTCCCAGCACCCACATGGCAGCTCACAACTGTCTGTAACTCCAGTTCAAAGGGATCTGACACCTTCACACTGATGCACATAAAATAAAATTAAGTAAGTTATTTAAAAAAGAATACATTAAAAAAAAAAGACTATACAGCACACTAAGACAGTCATGATACCTTAAGGCCCCGACAGTCAGTCATATTGCCTCTCAATTATACAACATCATTTAAAAAAATTTCTTTAGATTTGGGGTTTAGAAGAATTATAGATTGTAAGAACAACAACAACAAAACCCAAACATGTCTATATGTGTATGCATGTGTATGGTAATCATTTGATGAAAATCATTCAGCCAATGGTTTGAAAGTAATCTTAATGACAAATATCCCAGAAATGTTGCAAGCAACACGCAGACATGGACATTAACAGCGTCGGTTTTCAGGTTTTGCATGTTGTTCTGGGTCAGTGAAAAGACTTCCTCCCTTGTGACATTCTGCTGAAGATTTTACTTTTTCATTTCATGTCTTTCATGCTGTTCAGTAAATACAGAGCAAAGCCCTTTGTTAGGGGCAGACACAGATTCAGAACTTCATAGCGTAACAGACAGGCAAAAGGAACAGACAAATCAGACACAACAGACATAGAACAGACAGACCAATAATAGCAGACTACAGACATTTAGAACACACAGGGACAGAAGTGGAGTATTCAAATCTGGGCTTGATCTCGACCAAATTAACATAAGAGAAAGCCAGTGTTTTTATTCATTAATATGGCATCTATACATTTTGGTGTCTTTTTTGTTTTTTTCCTAATGTGTTAAAGAATACATTAAACAGGACTGGGATTTCTGAATTAGTCACAGAAAAGGATCAAGAGACTTCGGGCAAATATAAACATAATGATATTTTCAGTTGTACTTGAAGTCCCTTAGATTTCACTAAATGTAAATTGTTAGAAACCAATGGGTATGGTGGCACATTTGTTTAATCCCAGCATCTAGAAGGCAGAGGCAGGAAGATCTCTAGGAATTGGAGGTCAGCCGGGTCTACACAGCAAGTTCCAGAACAGCCAGGGCAAAACAAAGACCCTGTCACAAAGAGCAAAACAAAACCTTTACAAGTTAAATTTGTTGTGAATACTTTTGGTGACAGAATGTGGTGGGTCTCAGAGACACACACATATTTATATTTGTTGCACATGTCTTTCTTTTCCATTTTTTAGAAAGATAGTGACTCATGCATGACTATAATATCAGCTTTGGGAAGTAGAGGCAGGAGGAACAATAATATGGTCATATCTAGACACGTAGAGTTCAAAGCTGGTCAGGGTTATATGAGACCATGTTTCTAAAAACAAAACAAAACAAACCAAAACCGAAGACAAGTACACATACATAAAGTGTTATGACTTCCTGGAATGTGATGGCGAACCCGCCATCCCAGCATCGGGGATTTATTTCCCAGGTCTACTTCTGCTATAGAAAACATCAGTGCTCTGAGTTGAAACTGTGAGCTCCTCAGAACTCATATGACCCTTAACCGCAAGTGTTAGGGTATGCTATAGGACACTCACACAAAAAGACGTCTTGCCCCTTGTGAAGACATAGAAAGCATTGCCATGGATGAACCAGAAGACCAGCTCTTACCAGAATCTCTAATCATGTTGTGATCCTGGACGTTTGGCTTCCACATGAAGAAAAGTTTCTTATTTATAGGGCATAGTTTATGATACTTTATTACAGTGGCCCTACAGGACTAAGACAATTAGCTTCCCCACAAACTAAAGTTAGGCTTTTAAAAATCAGTAAGAAAATGATTTGTTTTTGTCAAACAGAAAAATAAAACAAAGACAGTTTTTCAGACAGAAAGTGCCTGTTTTTCATTGGTTTGGAGTTAGGATTGAGAGGGAAGGACTGAAATAGTGCAAGGAAATAAAATTGCAGAACAAGCTGTTCCATATTTAGTAGGGTTCTAGTTTTGGGTTTTCCCCAGACATTGAATGTGAAATGATGTATGTGAGAAAACTCTTCAGGCCTCAGACTGGATTTGGCTCCAGAAACCATTACCAAGGACTATTGTGTTACGATGGTGTTGGGATTAAACTGGACACTAGGAACCTCCAGTTCTGAGACTGGAGAAAATGCATGCCAATGCCAATGTCATGCCTGTGTCAAATGTGAGTCACCAGGAAGGTGAGAATAGTTTGCACTTTGAATATGATAAACTTTTGTTGAATATCTTCTGAATTAAATGATGGAACAGTCCTTCTTCCTTTTTTTTTTTTTTTTGGAAGGGGGGATAGGATGGGGTGCTTTAGGTTGAATCTCATGTAGCTCACACTGGCTTTGAATTCACTATGTAGCCAGGGATGGCCTTGTACTCTTTTTAAAGATTTTTTTTGAGATTATTTATTTTAATATGTTTGAGTGTTCCCCTGAATGTATGTCTCTACACCGTATGCACTCCATGCCTGTGGAGGTCAGAAGAGGGCGTTAGATTCCCTGGGACTGGAATAACAGATGGTTGTGAGCCGCCGTGTGGGTGCTGGGAATTGACCGAAAGTCATCCAGGTGAGTAGCCAGTACTCTGTGCCTTGCACTCTTTTTTAAGACAGATTCTCTCTCTCTCTCTAGCCCTGTCTATCCTAGAACTTTGATATACAGACCAGGTTGTTCTTGGACTCACAGTGATCTATGTGCCACTGTCTCCACTCGGATCCTATTGCTTTCACTTCTCTAGTGCTGGAATTGAAGGCCTTCAGTACCACACCAGGCCAAAAATTTGTGATATAACAAGCCTTCTGCCTACAGGGTTTTGTGAACAGATTGCCATACCATACTGTGCTATTTTCTGCTTAGTAATAAAGTTGAAGCTGCTAGGTATGAAGAATAAAGTTATTAGGGCAAGAGTTAGTACTGTTCCTAGGACCAGGCTTACTCCAACAATGGATCAAGAATGTCAAGAACAAATTGCCTGTAGGCTACATAAAGTCTAAAATCTTTAAATACATCTAGATGATGAAATTATTTAAAAATTGACCAATAAAAGAAATACAAGTATTGGTCGTGTAGCACTATTATCAATATTTGGAAGCAGTTTGGCACACAGCCTTCCTGTATTTCAAAGTGGAGGGAGGATATATATAATGAAAAGAAATGGCAGGTAAAAAAGCAAAACATGGGACATAATTAGAAACATGGGCAGGTGGTGGATACCATGAGGTGTATGCACAAATTTACTGCATGATTATTTTTAGTTCAGCTGCTTACAGGAGAATAACCCCTGTTCTGTTTATATAGAAGTACTTACCATTCCTTTTATTAAACATGAAAATGCTATATACCTGTAATCCCAGCCCTTGGAAGGTGGAGAGGAGAAAAATTAAAAAAAGTTGTGTGCAATTCTAATTCAACAGAAAAAAAAGGTCTACTTAAAAAAAAAAAAAATTCCCATTGGCACTGAAAGATAGAAAAACCAAATGTTTTTGATAGAAAGATAGAAAGCCAAAATGTTTTCTAGCGTCACTCCTATTTTAACAGGTGGGAACGCATCTGTAATTTATTAGAAGGCTGAGGCTTGACCAGAGGATTTCAAGTTTGAGGCCAGCCTGGAGACTATGTTAAGAGAACTCCTAAACCTTCCTAATTTTTATTATCGCGTGGATTTACTTTGTTTGTAGTAACATTTTCTTTTTGAGACAGTCGCATTTAACGCAGGCTGGCCACAAACGAACTATATGAGTATGACTTTGGACTACTGATCTCCTTGCTTTCACCTGCAGAGCTGCAGGGATTACAGGCATTAGCCTGGAGTATCAGAAAGCTAATCTCGAAAGCCTGTTATGTGATCCCATCACGCCCAGAAGTGCTTTGGTTCCAGGCAAGAGAGCCAAAGATGGGACTAAGGCATCTGGCCCACAGCCTCAGGGAGAAGGGAATACTTTCCGCGGTTCAGAGCTAAACGCCCACGGAACATACCACTGCTGTACTTTAAACACAAAGAGAAGTTGTTGAGCTGAAAGTCAGGCCATTGCACAGTTCACATTGTTACTGTTTTCAAGTGATCTTTGCATATGATTAGTTACACTAGGAGGCAGTGACAAAGGCGTTAAGGCATTTGTTTTTTGATTAGGACTTGACTGGTGTTTAGTCCAGACAAGCTTTGAGCATCACACCCGAGACTCAACGGTGTTCTAACTTTTCTTAGGAAACCCACAAATGTCTTCCATCGTCGCAGTGGGAAACAAATTTGAGAACAACAAAAAAATAAGATGGAACAAAATTACAGGATTTGAGAGGAAACGTTAAGTGAGGGAAAGAAGAAAAAAAAATTCTCAAAGTACGAAGAGACGTGTTTACTGCGGAGGAGCATCGGTGGCCTTGCTTTCCTTGCTTTCGATCCTAGCCGTCTCTCAACGACCGCTCCTTCCCAGAACAGGCGGGCACGCAACACACCTAGCCGGCCAGACCGGGCATCCCGAAGCTACGCAGCAAACAGAACAGCGCCTGAGTCGCACCAGCCCGAACTCTCGCGAGATCTGTCGGAGCGGCCAGCCGGTCGGCGGGGAAAGCCTCGCGTTGTTTGGTTAGGGGGCGGGGCCACCAGCGAAAAGGCGGAGTCTACCGGGGCTGGGGGTGGGGGTTGTTCTCGCGGTCTGTTGACTGACGTCTTTCTCCCCCCCCCCCCCCCCCGCCCGGGGGCTGCCCGCTCATGCGCAGCTCGCGGGTGGCGGCGGCGGCTAGGTCAGTCGGGCTGCCCCGGTCGCGGGCCGCGCGGGTCGGGCCCCGCCCTCCCGCGCCGGCGCTGGCGGACGCCGTGCGGGCCCCGTCGGCTCTCTCCACGGCGCTCCGCCCGCCGCCGGCCTGCAGCTGCTCTGGCCTGGAGGGCTCCCGCCTACGCAGGCCCGTGACGCGGGGGCTGGGACGGGGCTCCGCGGACCCAGCGGGCGCTGTGCTGCCGCCGCTGCCGCCGCTGCTGCCTGAGCGGCTCCTGCGTCTTCGGTGAGTGCGGTGCGCGTCCGCTGCTTTGGCATTTTAGACGCTGGCAGGGAGAAGCGAGGAGGAGAAGCGGGGCGAGCTGTCTCGCGGAGACGAGGTGTTTTTATTTTTATTTTTATTTTTTAGCTTATTTTGCTCATGCGTGTCTTCTTAGAATCGTGGAACCACAGGCTGTGTGTTTGCAAATCTGAAGAATTTGGGCACGGAGGAGGCATACTCTTAGCAATGGAGCTTTTATTTTCGTTACTAAAGTACTGCGTGCTCCGTAAGGAAAAAAAAAAAAAAATTGAGCTGCCAAACAATGAAGATACAAGACTCCTGCCCTCCCTCAGGCTCTTAGTCCCCAACCCCAATATTTACTCTCCTGATATTCAGGGTAACCCCATTCCAAGTGATTGCAGTCAGGCATTCAGGATTTCGTCCGTGCATTTGAGGAGTGTGTTTATAGACGAAAATTGGAATCGTATACAGAGTATCGATATTGGGGGGGCCCTCCACTTTTTTTAAACGTACTTTGTTGTTGAATATTACTGTGTAACGTGGGCTTCACACTTGCAATAGCAAGTCACTTAAAAACTGATGATGTGTTTTGTGATTTGATACATTGTCCTGGAGCTAAGGCTGACCTAGAACCTCTTGTGGAGGGGAAGCTGACCTTGAACTCCTAGCTTCTGCCTGCACCTCCCAGGTGCTGGGATCAAACATGAGCCTACTAGCCAGTGTTTTGCAACTTAATATGTTGAGACTTTAACAGTATCTAAGTTCACATGTGATACTCTGATACTAAACAGGTTGATAGTGTTTGCGTAGACCCCACTCAGAGTTTCCCTGAGAGGGAATGACTGACTGTCGAAGAGTACACAAAGTTTACTTTTGTTTATTGCACGTCTTAACGTTTAAATACCATATGGTTAGATGGCAGCGTTTAATTCTTTAAACTTGAGGCTACTTTTGATGAAGTATGGTAGAAAATCAATGCCAAGAAATTTGTACTCGAAAAAAACAAAAAACAAAACAAAACAAAAAATACGGATTCAATATTTTGCTAGGTGAACCCTAGGGAGACCTCCGAAAGTGGAATAATAAACAGTGGTACCGCAAGGCTTGCCAGTAAATAAGACTGAAAGGAAGTAGGCCCGTACTGCAGCTAACTTTATTAAAGCAGTGTTATTGTGCTTATCTTGATAGATTCCAAGGAAAACAACCTTCTAAAGCAATCACAGGCAACCATCTCATTCTAAACATGTTTCCTCTTAAATCATAGACTTAACTTGTGAACATTTTATTTAGGAACTGGGCTTAAACGACACGAAGAGATCTGTGGTTTCTTGGCAACAATCTGCTGGTACTGTTTTTTTTCATAAACGCCTAAGTAGTGTCTTCCTGATTCTGTGGTCAGTCAGGAGGCCCCACTCCTATTGCCTCTGGAGCTGCTCTGCTTTTGTGGGTGTGCTGAGTACTGGGCTGCGTTGTTGCCTCTCCCTTGTCCTCCTGAATGGAATCTGCCTTATCAAAAATGTCCCAAGAAATAAGTGTAGGAAACTATCGTGGTGTCATTTTGGATGAAGTGTCTAGTGGTTTCGTATTAAAGTAGCCGAACCTCTGTAAGTTGAAAAGAATAGAAAGTAGTTATGATTAAAATTTGCTTATTTCGTGGAAGTTAAAATGTATTATCGGGTTTGGTGTGTTACAGTATGGTATATTAATTTCTTCATTTTCTGGCAGGCGTAGTTTAAGGAAATGTGACCAGTAGTGAGGTTTAAATAAAGTGTGGTCAAATTATGTATTTGAGAAGAAACCCGTGTATAGTAAAAGATTTGAACTCTCTTGGCTGTTAAGAATAACAAGTTACATTTTAAGTATCTGCCATCCATCTCTTAGATAGTCTGTACTGGCTATGTCTTCTGTTTGTGGGACACCAAAAAACTGCAGCCCCCCAGTTTTTTTCAATAGAATATAAGATGCATTCAGTTTTAGTTATTGAGGCTGGAAGAGTTGGCAGTATGCTGAGTGTATGTTCAGAAATGAAGAGTAATGGCTGCAGTTGGAGCCCAGTCATATAGCACTTACCTGGCATGCCTGAGGCCCTACATGATTTCTAGTACCAAAAAACAGAGCAGACCTATGGCTGATGGGAAAGTTTGCTTTCTAGTTTAACCTGAAAACTCTTTTGGAGACATAGTCACGTGAGTAGCCAGAGAGAAATCAATGGTTTTTGGTCTTGTGTTTTTTCTTTTTTTAAAAGAAAAAGCACAAGGGATTATATCACCAGTTTAAATTATTGTGATTATTAATCTCTTTTGTTTGGTTTTTATTTTTATTTTTTGGTTTTGTTTTGTTTTGGTCAGGGTAAAAAACACACAATTTATGACATACTGAAAAATGTGAGAGTACTAAAATCCCACTTGAGTTTTTAAGAATAGCCATTTAAGATTTTATCACGAGTTGTTTTTCCAAAGTTGGGATTCTAGAAGGAAGCCAAAATAGAGGGTAGGGGCTGAAAATTGAGAATTGACTGTCAGTAAACAATGGGAGAAAGTGGGTCTTAAAAACATTGCTTAGAATCAGGTGTGTGGTTGCAGAAGGAGATGAAGTTACAGTTCTCTTAGTTTTGAGATGCTGGGATAATATCCAGTTATAAGTATCCTTTATCCTGTCCTGCTGGGAATTGAATTAGAATAATTCGTTTCTTTTAGCACCTTGCAAGATTTGTTGTATTTTGCACAGCAATCCCATGTCTGTTCAGTTGATTGTTGGAACTTACACTGCATTTGCAAAGCTGTCCCATGTAAAGTGCTGTGAAGGACTGCAGTCTCTCTGAGCCAGCATCCTCAAATGGTCTTGCTTTTCTGGGGTATCCTTGCTTTTGGTTCTCAGCTTTCTTTTCTGGCCGTGGTTTCACCTGCTTGTCCCCTGTCTCCTGTCTCCCAATTTTGCAACACCAGTCTGTTTTCTTTAGCCTTGAGATTTGCCGCTTTTGTGGTTCTCTCCGATAAATTCTTACTGGCTGCCCGCTGCTAATGTAACAGCCCTGGCTCTCCTAGAAATCACTATGTATATGAGCTGGTCTAGAACTTACAGAGCTCTGCCTGCTTCTGCCTTCTGAGTGCTGTCATTAAAGGCATGTACCACTACGCCCGGCCTCATATTTCATTGTTTTAAAAACAGTAATATATCTTAGTCCTGTATGCCCCAAATGGAAAGGTCACCCAGATTTTTCTGTTCTGTTTTTAAATAGTGTTTTCTTTCGCTGTGCCTTCTTTTCTTGTTCTTCCAGCGGCTGTGTATACAGTAAGATACCTCTGTTCTCTAGGTTTTGCTTTTTGACCTGCTTATTGATCCTAATTGTCCTAAGAAAGTCCCGATTGTTCTTTGCCTCATGACAAATAAAACCCCAGACATTTATTGATTGTGTGTGTGTGTGTGTGTGTATGTGTGTGATCCACCAGCAGATTCCTCTCATTTGGGCCTTATGATGTTAGCAGCTACTATCACCCCAGTTCATTGTAAAGAAATGGAGGAGTGGCTAGTATGGAGGAGTGGGAGTTGGTGCTGCTGGCATCATCCTTGCAAGCCTGCCCATCCTCGCTAGTAAGTGGCCCCAAGTGCTTTTAGGTAAACCTTATTTTGTGTAGTAACAGACTTTAACATTGGCGCCCCAACTTGAGTTAACACACTTTTTCACCTTACGCATTGCCTGTCCATTTTTGATATTTTTTTTCTTACTTCATCTTTACCTTTAAAAACAAGTCCTGTGAGCCAGGTGCGGTGGCTCACGCCTCTAATCCCAGCACTCAGGGAGGCAGAGGCAGGATTGATGTGAATTGAAGACCAGCCTGGTCTACAAGGCTACACAGAGAAAGCCTGTTTCAAAACAAAACAAAACAAAACCCAAACAAACACACAAACAAACAAACAAACAAATCCTGTGTAAAAGCCTGGCTTTCATCCCTCTTTTTAATCCCTGGTGGTAGAGTCTGCCTGTTCACACACCTTCAGGATGATGCTATTTATACTCTACGCTCTAGAGTGATTGGATTGTGAAGTTCTTGCAAGGAGAACCCAAGTCTTAAGTTATGTCAGAGTGAGTTTGGAATTGTCCAGTGGTGGGGAACTCCTCTGCTTCAGCATGTTAAGAAGTATTTCATTTTAGCTGCCACACTTTAGTTTCTGTTTGTTACATTTCTCTCTTTTTCCGACACATTCACACACACACGCTTACTGGAGTTTTATTTGTCTTGTTCTGTGTATGTAAATCATGTGAATTCTTTATTCAGAGTATCAGGAAATGGTAAATTGCTCATCTAAAAATCAGTTTGTTTGCATGTTTGGCTTCTTGGTTTGTAAAAAAGTTCTAAGTTTGTAAGAAGTCAGTGTTTTGGTATTTGATTTATTTTCCATGCTGTCTGTCGAGTTGGCCCAACTTTCTAATGAATTACAGTTCATTAGTATTCTCATGAGCCCACTTCACTGTTTTCTTCTGTGTGTACATAGGATAGAAATGATGGAGAAAAAATATCATGTGTGTTTTGTTGTTCATTTTGTTATATCTGAATGCTCCAATCATATAATCATCAGATCATCTGAATACCCACACAGATTGTATGCTGCATCAGGCTCTGGGTTCAATCGCTAGGACCACTCTCAACCACCAAAAAGAAAAAAAAATGAATGAATAAATAAATAAATAAATAAATGAACATACAAACAAAAAACCTAGTTGTTGAACTTTCTCTGTGGGGAAAAAAATCAAGTTTAAAAGCTGAAATAGGGGGGTGGTGGCGGCACACACCTTTAAAGTCTCCACTACCGCCCTATCTTTAATGCCAGCACATGAGAGAGAGGCAGAGTCTGGCAGATCCCTGGGTTCGAGGCCAGTCTGATCTACAGAGCAAGTTTCAGGACAGCCAGTACTACGTAATGAGACCCTATGTCAAAGGGACACACACACACACACACACACACACACACACACACACAAAGGGTAAGTAACAAAAAGAAAA